ATGACGATGATAACAATGATAGTAATGATGATAATATTATCATTATCATTAATAGTAATAATAGTGATGATAATAGTGATATTAGTAATGATAATAATAAGGAGATGAAGAATCAGGATGATGGTAATAATGATAATGATAATAATAACAATAATAATAATGATGATAATAATAATAACAATAATAACAATGATAATGATAATAACATCATTTATAAAATCAATGATGATGATGACGATAATATTGATAAAAATAATGATAAGAATGATGATGATAATAATCATAATAATAAAAACGACAATAATGAAAATAATAAGAAGAATGATGATGACGATAATGATAATGATGATGATAGGATGATGATTCAAATAATAATAACAATAATGATAATGATGATTATAATACTACTGATGATGACAATAAATACAATAACCATGACAATAATGATAAGAATGGTAAAGATGAATATGATAGAAATAGCAATGATGATAATAGTAATGAAGATATGATAATAATAATAAAGATGATGATAATAATAATTATTATCATTATTATTATAATGATAATAATAATAACAATAAAAATAATGATAACGAGTAAATGCTACTATTGTCAGCGCTAATAAGAACAAGAATAATAATGACAATGTGAAAAAATGTGATGATAATAAATACATGAAGAGCCTGATGGAAGTGAACACAATGCAAGGAATGTAAAATTGAGTTGTCAGTCTCGACGAAAGCCTGTAAACGAACAAATATCTCCTTCAGAGGAATTCCTTATGAGCTTGTAACTCAGAAATGCAATTAATTAGTCCAGTTATTATCAATTATCTTCAAACATTATCCCAGAGCAAACAGGTAGGCCATTACGCCTTTAATTTGAACAAACGAACACACCTTTTGAAGACGCGACCGTTACGCGAAATGAAAGGAATCCTTTTCTTTCACTTTGGTTTCTTTTTTTCTTTTCCTTTCTTTTTTTCAAAGGTCTCATTTCTAATTCATTTTTCATATTCTCTCTTTCGTCTTATTCTTTTAAAATTATTTTTGTCCGTTTCTTTCTCCGCGCGAGGAAAGGAGCGACCTGTTGGAGGACGTCGTTCGAAAGCGTGCCTCGAGTCTTCGAATGGCGCATCTAAAGAAGGGAAACTCGTTCATACTCTTTTTCATCAAGGCCGAACGACACTAGATGATCCGGGCAGAGTCATCTTATTTGCGCAAGATATTAATCAAGCTTGAATTTATACTCGGGCAAGGGGGAAATGAGACATTAATTAAAGTCGTGAATTATGCTTCCGATGACATGAAGTTACAACAGGACCATTCAGGCTAAATGAGTAATCTACGTTAATTGTTCGTTAAAAAAGATTATCAAATATTCGCTTTGCAACGTGTATCTCATAATGAGTTATCCTGTGACGGTCGTAGAGTTCGTAGGCCTGTGAATGTTACCAGCGAAAAGCTATATGCATAACGGCTAAAGTTATGCCCGATAAAATTAAGCACGAACGCGATAAATTAATTAGATATTGCATTTTATTTTCACAATATCATATGGGTCGCTCTCCTGTACGTCACAGAGCTTCAGAGTGGGTTAAACATGGCGCATTTACATATTTCACCGAGGTTTACGATTATCACAGCAATGCAGCGTCATGTTTGAACGCGCCATGACGTCACGGGTTGTTTGTGACGTAAGATTATGAATAAACTTTCATATCGGTAGTTTTTGACAAGCAGTTGAAAATGTACAATTGCCAGGCAGGAGAGATAAGAAGACGAGAGGGGAGGAGAGATTAGATTAAGCTAAAATCAACAGAAGAGAGGGCATGAAAAGCAAGAAAGGAAGTGGAAAGCATTAGTAGGCTATACAGTGCAAGGGGGCACACACACACACACACACACACACACACACACACACACACACACACACCACACACACACACACACACACACACACACATATATATATATATATATATATATATATATATATATATATATATATATATGTATATGTATGTATGTATTATAGCTTGATAGAGGGACAGGCAAAATAAGATATGCTTGTGGTGTGTACAGTAAATATGTGTATATGTATCCGTGTAGATACATGTGTACCAGTGAGAAAGTGAGAGAGAGAGAAAAGCAAAGCCAAGTGCAGACAGACCTATCCATCCACGCAAATGGATAGAGCAGCACAGAGATAATTTGAATACCGTCTCATACACAAAGGGTGTACATGCAAGTGCACCTCCCCGTGTGTATCTCTGGGCATACGTCAGTGGCTGTATTTATTCACGCTTTGGGATAAGCCAGGCTATCAGATGCCTTATCAATTTCCCGCTGACAAAGACCAGCAACAGAATAATTTGCTTAGTAAACGAGAGCTTGGGCCTTTATATAAAGAAAGGGGGGGGGGATACGGGGAGAGATGGGGTGGGGTGGGGAGAGGGAGGGAGAGAGTGAAGTGGAAGAGAAAGAGAGAGAGAGAGGGAGAGGAGATAGATGGAGATATGGCGAGGGGGAGGGACTGGGATAAAGAGAGAGAAGGTAAAAGCGTGAAAGGTAGAAAGATAGATAGATAGTGAGAGAGGGAGAGGGAGGAAGGGAGAAAGAGAGAGAAAGGGTAAAGGAGAAAGATAAAGGTAGATAGATATAAAGATAAAGAGAGGGAGAGGGAGAAAGAAAGAGAGAGAGAGAGAGAGGGCGAAAATCCCTATTTGAATACATGCATTAATGACGTTTCTCCCAAGCAGCAAACGGAATTTTCTTTCATCCAAAAAATGCAAGACCACTCATTGTTGCAGAGAGAGGTTGAGGGGGGGGGAGCCGCTTAGGAGGGGGGAGGGGGAGTTGAAGATGCAATGTAGGACAATTTTTCTGGCGGTTTAATATCATTTATTTTCTTACTCCATCTTTTCCTTTTCTTTTAATGGTGTATCAGGTTGTTAATTCCACGAAGGAAGAGAATCTGTACGTATGTATACGTGTATATACATACGTGTATACATATGCATGTGTGTGTGTTTGTGTGTGTGTGAATGTGTGTGTGTATGTGTTTGTTTGTGTGTATGTGTGTGTATGTGTGTGTGTGTGTATGTGTGTGTGTGTGTGTGTGTATGTGTTTGTGTGTGTGTTTGTTTGTGTGCGTGTGTGTGTGTGTATGTATGTGCGTGCGTGTGTGTGCATGTGTGTGTGCACTTGCGTGTGTATATAATAGCGTGTGCTCAATGAGGAGGGCAGAGAGACACGGAAATTAGAATCCGCCTTTCCTCCATTCTGGAAAACCTTGAGAGTCCTTTGTGCGTTTTCCTCCCGCGTCTATTACGAGATAAAAGGCGTCAAAATACGGGGGGAAATATACGCGGAATATTTGCAGCGCAGGCAAATACATTCGCTTTGATCCCAGATCACTAGAGGCATTAAAAACGTGAACTTTTTTAAGCCGAGAAAGAGAGACAGATTGCTTGTAAGACTTTCCCATTTCTTGTCCGGCGTGAAGATGCTCTAAGAATTTCACTTTGCAATGATCAGATTTGCTCCGGTTCATTGCCTCACCATGTTTTGCTTCTCCTTCTTCTTGTCTATTTCATGTTATTTCTTTTATCTTTTTTTTTTTTATCTTAAGCTTCATTCTTGTCATCCAACTAAAAATATTTAGATATCTGCACCGTCAGATGTACCATGCAATCTGTCTTATATTTTACTCATCTGTATCTTATCTTTTCTTTTCGCCATATTTCGAGTTATCTTTTTTTCTAGTAATTTTTCCATCTCTCTCATCCTCTTTCCGAAAATATGTCAATACTGTATTTACCGTCTTTCTAAGCTTCTGTCTCGTTATCTTTTTTATTATCTGCCCCATGAACTTCATTCTATCACAACTTTCACATTTTTTTCGTCATTCCCCGTGTCTCTTCATCTTCTTTCTCATTTTTCATCCGTCTCCTCCTTTCCCTTTCGATAACCTTGCTTATCCAATAATCTGTTTAACTCCAGCCTTTTATTTAAGCTTCTTTCTTACCATCTGTCAAAGCATTTAATCAATTATTTTTCTTGCTATTTATCCAGCTATTCCCCTAACCATTTATCTAATGATTTATCAAACAACTGTCTAACATTTATCTATCTCTGTCTTCCCGTCTAACCAACCATATTTCTAACATCTGACAAATTTGTTTTGCCATATTTCTGAGCATCTATCCATTTATCTCTCTAACAAGCCATCTGGTCGTCCTACTAACATTATCTAATCTTTTTTTATCATTGCTCTAACCATCTATCTTAATCATCTTCCTGTCTATCTAAATGTCTATTTGTCCATCTCTTCAAAAAGGCATTTAATCATCCCTCTAATCATTTATCTAATCTCCTAGTTAACCCTGATTATCTATCTAGTAAGAATCTCTTTATCTTTAATCGTCTCTTTCATTATCCCTTTGAGCTCTCCTCTTTCTAACCATCTCTCTAACAATCTATTCAGTTATGTTTACCCATCTAACAGTACATTTACCCATCACTAGCCATCTCAGTGCATCCACCTCTACCCTTCTTTCTAACAACCAACCCAGTCCCTTCTAACCATCTCTTTAAAGATCCATTTCTCTAACAACCTACCCAGCCTCTTTAAAATTCCATCTCTGTAACAGCCTACTCACCCACTTCTAAATACCTCTTTAAAAGATCCCTCTCTCAAACAACCAAACCAGGCACTTCTAACCATCTCTTTAAAAGATCCTTTTCTCTAACAACCAAACCAAGCACTCCTAACCACCTCGTTAAAAATCATTCTCTCTAACAACCTACCCAACCACTTCTAACCATCTCTTAAAAGAACAATTCTCTAACTACCCAGCCACTTTAAATTCCATCTCTATAACAACCAGCCCAGGCACTTCTAACAACCTCATAAAGAGATCCCTCTCTCTAACAACCTACCCAGCCACTTCTAACCATATAACTAACACCAAATTCTCTGTCTCCCTCGCCCTATAG